AGCAGCCCAGGCTGCCCAGGGCCCCATCCAACCTGGCCTTCAACACCTCCAGGGATGGACGGGGCATCACAGCCTCTCTGGGCAGCTGTTCCAGCACCTCACCACTCTCACAGCACACAACTTCCCCCTGACATCCAACCTCCATCTGCCCTCCCTCAACTCCAAACCATTTCCCCTTGTCCTGCTGTCATCTCCCCTTTCCAAGAGCTGACTCCCTCCTGTCTGCAGGCTCCCTTTAGGTACTGCAGGCTGCACTGAGGTCACTCCACAGCTTTCTATTCTCCATGCTGAGAACCTCAGACTTTTGGAAAAGAGGTGTGTGTGCTCACTTGAAACAGAAGAAAAACTGAGTATGGGGGAGAGAAAAAATTTGGGAAGCCCAAAAAATAGTGGGCTCCAAAAAACAACTTCTCCGTGTGGAGATGGGTGAGGGAAGAGGAGTGCAGTGAGCAGCAGGCTGTCTCAAAGCTGAATGTCATGACACGTCCTCCAAGAAGACATTTCCACCTGTCCTGTAGCCTTACTCCCAGCCATGTGTTACAGCTGATGCCTTTGTCTTCTTATCCTCCTGCCTCTTTGTAGGAAGTCTAAAGCGAATGCATGAAGAGGACGAAGAGCTTGGAACCATGCAAGTGGCAGCAGCACAGAATGGATGAGGACAGCACTGTTTGCATTGTGAGCTCCTGCTGAGAAAGGTGAAGAAAGCTAGGGGGAAAAAAGAGAACTAATGCAAAACGATGAACACACAGAGCTTCTTTTCAATTACATGTTGCTTTCAGATGTAAATCTGCCTCTGCAACACACTAAGCATCATTTTTAAGATGTTGGACTTCTTGAATGAATAGATGGCACTGATTGTTTTACTCCTTTTTTACACTTTACAGTTTTATTCTAAACCAAGATTTTTGGACTTGCAAAGAGGTATTATTGCAATAATGCACTTTTCATACTTGAAATTTCTTTATTTGTATGATATAAAGTTATTACTTTAAACAAAATGCAAGCTGGGGGGGTTTGTTTATAAAGTTATTTGTGTAATTTATAACAAGAGACTTTAGTAAAGAAAAAGTTTGCTAAAATTCACTTTGTTCTCACTGTCTTATGGTCACACTCAGATACGTGTTTTACAAGCTGCACTGTGCACTGCTGTTGACAGTTGAGCAATGGCAGTGCTCTGTTCAGCATTAACCCTTTATTTGGTTATGAAATCTCATATGGAATTATTTTGAAGCTGGCACTGAGACCATATGAAGAGAGAATATTGTTCTAAAATTCTCTGCTTGTGTTATGCAAGCTAGTTTACTTTACCAGAGTACTGGTTCCTGATTAGTTAATAAAACAGTCCTGTGCTAAATGAGTACAGGTGGCAGTTACTGATTTCCCAGGCACGAATGCTTTCAGAGCGTGGTGTTGACTGAGCAAATTGGGAAGCTGTTGGAATTGAATGGGTCTGTTTGGGAAATTGGCTGTGAACAACTGGGCTGAAGACAGGGGAATGAATATAGAAGACATTTGGGAGGCTGAGCACCCAGCTTTGTTCCATGTACTGGGAGAGCTGTGTTCTGTCGGTCCTGGAACGAGCATCCTGTGCTGAAGGCAGAAGTGGTGGCTGGATGGGGGACTCTGTGGGGGCAGGTGTCTGTAAGGGCATGAATCTGAGCAGTGAGGATCTCTTCTGAAGCTGCCTTTTGCTGAGAGACTGAGAGCTTGTTTACCCTGCAGGACTTCTGCCTCGGTGTATTGAAGGCAAGTGGAGCACACCTGTGACTTGTTGAGCTTTGCTTCGTCACCGATTCTCTGCCTTCTCTTGCAGTTCCCCAGAAGCTTTGCTGAGGGACAGTCCCTCCAGAGCAAGCCTGAACTTCTTAGCCTGTGTCAAGGCTGCTTAGAGACCTGTTACAAATAGCAGATTCTGGCTTGAAAACTACTGCCTGGATTAAAGCGTGCTGCTAGAACAGATGCTGGTGACAGCTGAGGAAATCTTCCTGCAGTAAGTCAAGGCTTTTAGTTGAGCCAGGACACCTGGGCTGAGGCTTTGTAGCCTGACAGTCTCTCATGTGTAAGGTGAAGGCCCTGTGTCACTCAGGGAGCTTCAGTGGAGCTGGGAGAGCAGCACTTTCCCTTTACTGCCATTTGTCCTGTGCTGTGTGCTTCAGTGAAGAAGTTACATAAATTCTTCAGAAAAAAAAAAAAGTCTTTGGAAAACGTATTGTGCTCGAGTCAGGAAACCTCCAGCTTTAAAAGAACAGCTTTGAGGCTGTTGGGAAATGAAATCCTCAGGCACCTCACCACTTAGCCTCCAATGCTCCCAGTAGGCTGTGCAGTTTGTGGATGCCTCCCTCGTGCAGCGCACCAACTGCTGCCAGCTACGAGCTTCTGATGAAGCAGGGCTGGGAAGCAGAACTTGTGAGTAAAGCTGCTTCCTCCTTCAGCTCCCACGGGCCTCCTTGGGCAAGAGTAGAGATGAAACACAGACAAAAGAACGCTGCTGATTCATCCAACCATCCCCTGCCAGAGAGCCTTATTCATGTCTAGTCTGGTTCTGTTACCTCACTGGGGTCCTGCAGTTTCCTTGGGGAGACTGTCTCACCAACTGTTAGGCTTCATGACTAAGGATTTCCCACCAGTTGTCTTTTCACTCCATTACCACCTTCCTCTGACTGCTAAAGTTGCTGTGGTGTGTGCCTGCTGCCCTGCAGGTAACAGCCTCTCAGATCCAAAGGGATTCTGAGATGAGATTTTCTCTTACATACTACTATGTAGCTTTGTATTTGAAGCTGTCATTTCTTGCTTCTTGATAGTAGGTATTTCAATTACCATTTGCTTTCTGAGGTTAAACTAGAGGTGGCATTTGGCAGCAAGCATCCCTGCCTGGGGTCTTTGGGTATCACTGCAAGCTGAACTTTTTTCCCTCCTCAGATTCAGAGGTACAGTTGCAGCACTGAAGTCTTTGTATTCCACAACTGTATTTTAAGATAGAAGAGTTCCCTTTCCATTTTAGGGGAAGCTGGGTGAAGGAAGGAGCTAGAGGTGGCATACTGTGTGTGGAGAACTACAAACCAAGGACTGAAGGCATAAGGAGCAGCTAACATTGAGCTTGGGAGAATCTGGTGGTGAAGTCCAGGCTATTGGAAAGCATCTCCCTGTTTGATTTCTGACAACATCTGTGGTTCCTTTGTTCTCCCAGGAGGCCTTGTCCCTCCTTTTGAGCCTGTGCTGCTGTAGATAAAGAAGTTCTATCCATTCAAAAGACACAGTGTAATTGAACATCTCCTGCTTCTGTTGCTCTTAGCGGCAATTGCCAGTTCCTGTGAGCTGACAGATTAAAATGCATGTGCCATGTATTCTTCCAGCTGGCTGAAACTGCAGTGACATTTGTATGTCACTAGCCAGACTGTTAGCACCCCTCAGAAGCATCTGCCAGCACTTAACAGAGCCATTCCCTACCATGCAGGGTTGGTGGTGTGCTGAATAACTTGTTGAAGTCTCATTTCTGCCCTACAGCTCTCACACTTTTCCTCCAGAGGGATTCCTGACAGTTCAGCAGTTAAACTGCACCTTTTCTCACACAGCACAGCTTTTCTGTACCTCCAGCCATGCCCAAAAGGTGAGGCTGCCAAGGTTGGCAATGTCATCTTTAGTACAGAGCAGAGGGCCCTTCCATGTTAAAGCAGGATTCCTCCCAGCAGAACAGAGCCATGCAGCAACAAAACCGAGCTTTCAACCTCATTCATTTGTTTTACAATGATCTCAGCTGAGTACATCCTCACTGGCACTAATCATTTCATTAGCTCTTAATGAGAGCCTAGAGCCACTGAGATGGCACAGTATCACAGAGCTCACATAATCCACTTCAAAGTAGTGGAAGTGCAGAGCTGGTTTAAACAGGGAGAAGCAAAACACTCCATGTTGCTCACAGGGGTCAGCACACATCAGCAGATGTCTTATAGTTTAGAGCTGGGGCTCTAGCTGCTTTCAGCTGTCAGCAGAGCCCCAGTTCCCCCTCAGGTACACACACCCCTAGGAAATCACTGCCCAGGCTTAACTGCAGCTTAGCAGAAAGTGGGTGAGAAGCTCCAGTCTGGCTCCTGAGGCGTGCAGGGCTGAGCTGGACTTGCTCTCATTTTCTCACCACTCCTGGCAGCCCGTGGCTGCATCTGTAAGCAATCAAGCTGTGCAGATGCACACCTCAGGTTTCGTGCCATCCTCTAAAGGCATCTTGCTTCACAGATGCCATGCTTCATGAGGTGCCATACTTGAAATCAACATGAAGACTCAAAAAAACAAAGTTCAGTTCAGAAAAGCAGATCGAAGGTACAGCAGTATCAAAAACAGAGCAGATGTAGTTGGCAGTCTTAATTTATTCAGCTTAAACAAAGATTTTTTTAAAAAATAATCAATAAATAAAACAGACATTAGCAAGGGGACACTATTGAGTGAAGTACCATCAGGGACATTAAACAGAACCCCCCCACACACCTCAAAGTAGCTCTCCTCACCACAAGGAAAGGACTTTCTTTAAGGCCTAACTGTTCACAAACAAGGCTGGCTGCTCTGTGCCAACCTTTGCCTATTCATAATGCCCTATTCAGAGATGGAGGATTTGTCACTCTCCTTGCACAAAACACGATTGTTGAAGTGAGGGCTTTGTATATTATTTGCTTGCCTCTGGGGGCAAAAGTGCTAAAATCATTTATCCAATCTTACAGAAGAGGGATGCTTGCAAACAGCAGCTATCCCTCAGGACACTGATCTGGGATCTCTGGGCTGGTTTGAAATGCAATAGGTATAAGTGGTTACCAGCAAAACCAGAGCTGAACTGGCCCAAAGGAGTTCAAGTACAGCAAGTTGGTTGGATGCGTTGGGTGAAGCTGAATGTGTTGGTACCATCTTACAGGTACAGGCATTGGCATTCCCACTGAGTACCAGTAAAAGCCCACTGGAGATGAGGTGAATTCTGCCTGTCAGACATTCCAGCTTCCTATTTCTGTTGCAAATCATGGGTTGGTTTGCCATAAAACATAATTGTCCTGAAAACAAATTATCAGCTAAAGTGCAGGGTCCCTGCATGGAGGACTGTGCATCCATTTAGGCTCCAAAACATTGGCTTCAACAGAGCCCATAAGGACCCCCCAACGACACTAACAGCAACAAATCCAGTTTCAGAAAGCAGTGCCTATAAAACTTCAGGTACACAAACATCAACAGCACTTCAGTGAGATTTCATGGAAAGAACAGAACAAATTCCCATCCTGTATTACTGACTGCATACGAGAAGCATCCCTACCCACCTACACCACCCTTCATTGAAGTACAGACAGGAGCACAACCCCACAAAGCTGTACTTTGGCTACCAAGAAGAGAAGCGCAAACCTTTAGAAAAATACAATGCAAGAAAAGATTTGAGATAAAAATATAGACCTTTGGTTAAAAACCATCCCTTTAACAAGAGTCCTTTGAACTCAGCTAGAACAAAAAAAGCTTCACTTAGACTGAACAGTAGTAAAAATTAGTTCTAAGAGCTAACCCACAGAACCCTCCTAGAATGTCAGTGCGCTGCCTTTTCTTTGCAGGATTTACACATCTGATGTTCAGTATTTATAGGGATCGTTATATTTGCAGCAATAAACTATATCAATTTGTCATGAAGAGAATGTACCACGAGCTCCTCCACCAACAGTCTGTACAAAAACAGTGCTGCAAGTTCTTAATTAAAGAACCGTTGAAACATGTAGTTTTCTTCAGATACCAAATAGCCAAACTTCTTGTAGAAGGCCACGTTTTTTGGCAGACACTCGAGTGTGATTTTGTAACAGTTCAGTCTCTTACTTAGCAATGTAAGAGTGGACGTTAATCTGAAAAAGACAGAAGAACAGCAGTTAAGTGGGATGGCCCTGAACACAGGAAGGCCCAACAGTTAATTAGCTAAAAGATATCAATGACACTTTTTAAAGGAGCACAGTGCTCATCCAGCTCCAACCCCTGCTGTGTGCAGGTCACCAACCAGCAGCCCAGGCTGCCCAGAGCCACATCCAGCCTGGCCTTGAATGCCTGCAGGGATGGGGCATCCACAGCCTCCTTGGGCAACCTGTGCCAGTGCCTCACCACCCTCTGGCTCAAAAACTTCCTCCTCATATCCAACCCAAACCTCCCCTGTCTCACTTTAGAACCATTCCAGTACGCTTAGTGGTCCTGCTTTGATCCTATACCTTCTGTAGAAAGCAGTACTCCAGATATCTGTTGATTTTTCCACTGGAAACATTTGGCAGACCCACCTACATCACCTACTCACTGATGCCTACTGACCACAGGGCAGCCCTTCCCCACCTTTAGACATAAAGTACTGAAACATTACAGCAACCTGCGTTTCTCTTCAGTACAGGCAATAGCTGCTATCTCAAGGGAAAAAAAAAAAAGTAGCAGTGGTTTGTAGGCAATTTTATGTTAAAACTTCAGTGGTGACTTTTTAGCAAAAGGTCTGTGAGCTGTCTGGCTGCAGAGGATCTGCCCCACTAACCTGCAGAACTGAAATCCCGCTCCAAGATCCTTCAGTGCCTACCGAGGGCAAAGGACAGACAGACGGCATCCCGAGAGCAGCAAAAGGGATGGGCTAACTTCAAACATCAGCCACTCACAGCTGACTTCTGTCCTGTCACACTGATGGCAGCTGCAAACCTTCCTCTTCTCAGAGAGCTCCTGCACTGACATCAGTCATCACCACTGCGGTGTTTGCTGGCACTGATCAGCACGCCCAGACTGGGGGGCAGAAGCTCCGTGAGGGCTTGCTGCTCTGCCTGGTGTTGAATTGCAAAGGTAACAAATACTTACAGTTTCCCGAGTTGCTTTCCTCTGCACTCCCCGCTCACTACTACGTCTTCTATCCTCCCTCTCTGTGAAAATACAGACAAGTGTCAGTGCAGCACAACACCAGTGTGCAGTCTCCCTCCTGCTCAAGGCTCCACGCCTGCATTTTCTCCTGTCTAGTCAGACAATTCCTCCACAAACTGATGCTCTCATCACTGACTCAGCAGAAGGTATTTCATCACACAGTAACAAGGCAGAAATAACACGTGTCTGCTGGAAACACTGCCTTTTTCCTCACCACAGCTGCAGCCAGAGGAGATACCTTTGCACAGGAGTGAGTGAACTTGTGTTCTATCACCAACGTTGCTGTAGCAACGATCTGTCCAAGATTCGTATCTTCTACAACCGTAACGTAATAATCTCCAGATTTCTTCATGTGCTCAAAGGTTTCTGTGGGAGCAGACAGACAGAACACCGTTAGCCTCCGATTAATTTGCTGAATTCTGAACGTAGATCAGATTCAGATTCTGAATGCTGAGATCTGAATTCAGGATCACAAAGCGTGCACCTGAGGCACCAGGACCTTAAAGCCCCAGTCAGATTAACCCTGAGATAGAAGCCAGGAAATGCAGGAATGAACCCTAGGAATGGCCTGGGTTGAAAAGGACCATAATGATCATCAACACCCTGCTATGTGCAGGGTCACCAACCACCAGACCAAGCTGCCCACAATGAAGAAAATGCCTTTTCCCTAACCACCAAGAGAACCCTCCCTCCTCAGCAGATGGGTGCCAATGAAGGCAGCAGCACCTCCTGTAAGCTTTCTTATCTCTCAGTCAAAGCAGTGAAGCAAGCTCAGAATGTCACTGAGCTGCAATCAAAAGCAAACTTCTGCTTCAGCCAAAAGAAGCCACCACCCAACGCTCCCTCCTGCCACGCATCAAAAGCTCAGCCTCAAAAGCAGGTATACAATTTAAACACGTCCCAGCCAAGAAGCCCCTCAGGATAACTGCAGCCGAATACAAAGCGTGCCAGAATCTGCCTCAGGGGACACAAGATAATAAATCCCTCTGCATCACAGCCAGGTAGATTGCTGTCAGCATCACTGTCTCCTGGTTCTCAGCAACCTCTACGAAGTGCCAAGACACAATGATATACTCACTGATAAACTGCTCTGGGCTCACAACTCCAGTTTCAGTCAGCTGACCCAGGACCTTGAAAAAGCCTGTTACAGAAGAGGAGAAAGACTCACTGCAGGGCAGAGACATGCAAATAGCACAGAACAGCTTGACACGGCTGTCTGCAGAGCTCACTTTCCCCTGGCATCACCTAGTTCAGCTGTATCTAAAGGCCTGTGCTCTGCATATTACAGACCTGGACTGTAATCTTAAAATCAAACTCACACCTTGAGCAATGCTCAGTACTTCATCAGCTTATCAGTGAACTAGCTTGAATGCAGAAGAAGAGACACAGATGTTTAAGCAAGAGAAGTGTCAGCCTTAATATTATGCAGTGTTAAGCCATTTGTTCAGAGCACCTTTTTTTTGTGTGTGTGTGTGTCCCACCCCCCCAGGCTACAGATGTGAAAGCTTCATAATCACACTGGTTTATATCACTTCTATACCATAAGGAACAGCACAAACAAGCGTATTCCCCCTTATACAGAATGGCCTGGGTTGAAAAGGACCACAATGATCATCTTGTTTCAACCCCCTGCTACGTGCAGGGTTGCCAACCAGCAGACCAGGCTGCCCAGAGCCACATCCAGCCTTAGAACAACACAGCCTTTAGAATTGTGCTGAATAGGAAGCTGAGGATTATTTGAAATACTTGAATTTTAAGATTATTTTTCAGGTTATTAAGATAGGAGAAACAATGTTGAGGGTCAAGCAACACAGCAGCTATTCATCCATCATGTCAAGTGCTCAAATTCCTTCGTGATAACCCAAACCAGATAAAACACATAATCCTAACCTAATGAGAGAGAATGCAGGAATACACATGATGTAGTTCAGCACCCATTTTTGCTTGTGATGATCACACAACAGGATTCTACCTCGATTTACATCAGCTGTGCACAGCGGTCTCATGACCAGCCCATCTCCTGGCTCCGAAGGAGAAATAGAAGGAGAAAACATGGCTGTGTTCTCACTCCAGTCAAGCTCGTGCAGAATGCTCGGGTCAAACATCGGCGTGTCGTCCGGCATGGCGGTCGCTACAGGCAGCATGGCAGCAAGAGGTGCTCTGGAACACAAAGCACACACATGAGCAATGCTGTTTCACTACTCCCTTAATGCCCAAAGAGTCTCTCCCAAAGAGTCTTTCCTCCCAGCGACGTAAAGAAAAGGGAACGACACCAAAGCTGCTGTTGGCATTGTGTGAAATCAGAGAGCTGAACTTCACCAGACGAGATGCTGGGATAAACAAAGTGTGCGTGAGCTGAAGTCAGCACAGACTGTGCTCACCCAGAGGGGTTTTCTCTTGGAGAGAAAAAAATAACAGGCATTGAGCTGGATAGTTAGCACCTACAGCCCCCTGGAAAGGAAATTAGCCAAGTGCATGGAGAAAGCAGTGTGTACAAGCATTCTCCCCATTCATTCAGACTGGTGGTAGGAAGAAGGTGCGTTTTCCAAGCAGTCTCATCACACAGACACACGCTTCCATCACGCAGGTGACACGCAGCATCCAGGCACGCTTCCAGGGGTTCATTTACGTCATGTTTGCTCTGTGTATTTACAGAACCAGATGCCACCCCAGCACAGCATCTCACCGCCCATTAACAGAACTGCCAGAAGCACCTGTTAATGATTAAAGAGATGCGGGAAGTTAAGGCTAGAGGAAGCAGAGGGCCACCTCCGACTGCACGGAGCAGGAATTGCTGGTGAGTACTCTGGTACCAACAGAGCACGGCAGGAGTCACTGCTGAGAAGTCCTGGATGTGGCTCTGGGCAGCCTGGGCTGCTGGTTGGCGATCCTTCACACAGCAGGGGGTTGGAGCTGGATGAGCACTGTGCTCCTGTGCAACCCAGGCCTTTCTAAGACAGAGCACAGCCCCAACTCAGCACAGCGGCAGCACCCAGACCTCAAAGTGAGGGCAGCTTTAGGAAACTCACTAAGGAAAGCTCTTAAATAAAGAGAAAGAATAAAGAGAAGCCTCGAAGCGCCCATTCTCACCCCAGCCCCACTAGGAAATACAGACTGCCCGCAGTTACAACAGCAAACCAACCAACCCCCCACCCCATAGGGGGACGAAGCAGAGCCGGTGCGAGCCTGCAGGCGGCACGGCACAACACTGAACACGGCCGGCACGGCGCTGGAGGCCTGACCCCGCCGCCACAACGCACGGCCTCCCGCAGCAACAGACCACACTCACACCTCAAGGCCCCTTAACCCTACACCGGGAGCCCGGGCGGCATTCGCTGGGCCGAGCCGAGCCGAGCCGGGCCGGGCCAAAGAGCGGAGCCCCCCTCCCGCTCCCCGCAGAGCCCGCTTTCCCCGCAACCCCCGGCCGCACTCACCCCGCACAGCGCACGAGGCCGCGCCGCCGCTCGCACCGGCTCCCACGCAGGCGCCGCACGGACGTGGCAGGAGGCGGGGCCTAACGCGCACGCACGCCACGACACAGCCAATCATCGGCCGCGCCGGCCGCCCCGCTCTAACTCTACGCTCTCGGATTAGTAGAGAGCGGTGAGGCCACGCCCCCCGCCCTTTGGCTGAGGTCCCGCCCCTCCGAGGCGCAAAATGGCGGCGGCGCCGTGGGCGCGGAGAGAGGTGGTTGCTCGTCGCTCCGCTCGGTGCTCCCTGCCGGAAGGGGCCGGTCTGGGCGGGGAGAAGGGAGGAGGGGTGACTGGGGTTTGGTGCGTGGGAGGTGTGCGGTAGTGTCTGTGATGGGGGGACACAGAGAACGCATAGATTGTTTTTTGCTTACAGTTGAAAAATAAACAAGTTAAAGATAACTGAGGGCTCTGCTTTATAAACAGCCGAAGTCGAGGCGTGCGTAGCGGCCTGCGCAGCGGGATGAGCGCGCAGCGCGATCCTGGGCCGCCACCGCCATTTGCCGTCTGTGCCCTCAGCGCGAATCGCTGCGCTGCCATGGAAACCGTGTGAGGCATCGCAGCGACCGCCGAGCCTCGGGGCAGGGGAGAAGCACTGCGTTCCAAGGAGAACTGAGGGACTGCAGGGCGTCCATCCGTGATGAAATATTTTTCAGCCGGAGGGTGGTGAGGCACTGGCACAGGTTGCCCAAGGAGGCTGTGGATGCCCCATCCCTGCAGGCATTCAAGGCCAGGCTGGATGTGGCTCTGGGCAGCCTGGGCTGCTGGTTGGCGACCTGCACACAGCAGGGGTTGGAGCTGGATGAGCACTGTGCTCCTGTGCAACCCAGGCCATTCTAGGATGCTATGAGAACATGAACAGTGTACCCTGCTCTGTAGGGTCATTAAAGTTGGAAAAGCACTTTAAGATCCCCAAGCCCAACCATGGGCTGCCCAGAGAGCTGTGGGTGCTCTCCAAGACCTCCAAGGTCAGCCCTAAGCTACCCCACCATGCCCACTGCCCACGACCCTCAGTTCCACATCCCCACAGCTGTGGAGAACCTCCAGGGACGGTGACCCAACACTGCTGGGCAGCTGTGCCACTGCAGCACTGTCATTTTTCTTCACAGCCAACACAATATCGTGCTTTCTTAAAAGAAATCGGGGAGTGCTGCTCTGCTGGTGAAGCAGGGTCACTCTGAGCTTGGGTGTATTTCTGCTGAGTAAAAAATGACAGAGCTGGCTTTAGCTTAACCCCCTCCATGATGCCTTTTCTGCAATGGAACTATTTTAAAAGCATGAGGTAGATGTTGTGTTTAACCAAAGTCGAGGCTTAGAAAAAGTGCACTACACCAGTGATGTGGGAATGGCCACGTGGGGTCAGCCCAGCTCTCCCCTGTGAGGCTGGGAGCAGATGGCTGAGCCTTGCACCAGAATGGGGCAGGTTTTGGTCAAGCCTTATCCAGGCACATCCTCCCAGTTTCCGGCGATCAGCAGAATAGGGACATCCTGACCCTGGAGTTTCATCCGGCCCCTGGCATTTAATAGCTGTACAGCACTATCTTTCATATGTGTGTCTCAGCTTCTGACCTCCAGTGCTCCCAGCGTAATGTTGCTGGATGGGGAAAAAAATCCTTAGGTTTGTTTAAAACTGCCGTTCTCCAGCAGGGCTGCTTTTATTAGTCCTGGAGATCAGTCCTGTTGTATTTACAGCCACGTGTATGGACTTCAGTTTGGCTCGAGGACAGAAACATTTCTGCATGTGGATTTCATTGCAGCGTGGGCCTGAAGGAGAGCAGGGAAATGTTCTGAATGGAAAAACATCCATGGCTGAAAACCGTCCGTGGTTGGAAAAAGCAAAGAAAGGTGAATTTGCCAGGCTGCAGATAAAGGGGGGAACAGACCCTCTTTGGGTTTACAACCAGTGTGTGATTAAACCTGCCCCGATGGAGGCAGAGGGGTTTGAACTGAACCTTAGCTCCTTGAGAAGCCTTGCTCCATTTCAGCAGTACTTTGGAGAAAGGCCCTTAAGCCCTGCTGGCAGAGTCATACATGGTGGAAGGCACGTGGCCACCGAGGAGCCCTCACTTCTCCTGGAGACATCTCTCCACGTCCCACCCGGTGGCTTTCCAGAGGTCAAGTGATTTGGGTCAGTGAGGATTCACAGCAGCCAGCAGATAAATCTCCACGGAACCGCCGCAGCCAGGATTTCATTGCTGGAAAGCGAGGGGAAAGTTGAAACAGCACATTTCCACTTGTGTCACAGATGTGTTCATCCCTGCCTTTTCCACTGTAACGCTTTTTGTTTCAGAGGAAAAAAAAACCAACAGCAAAGCGATATCCTCTGGCTGCTCCACATCTGCCAGCGCTGGAGCAAGGAGGTTACGAGGCAGGGAAATCTGCAAATTGGTGAGCGCGGGACAGTCAGAAAGATGGGAAGGGAGCCATGCACTTGCTTGATGTAAGCGTCTGAGTCTGGAACACACCCTGCTTTACGAGGAGAGAAAAAGCACTCTCCTTTCATTTTGCCATATGACACAACGCAGTAAGAACGAATAAATCCTCGCCACAATCAAATTGTTTATGTTCTGTTTTGGAAACATGCTCAGGGCTCACTGTACCTAGGGACCGACCTCTCCGCTTCTTTTTGCTCTCATAGATCAAGCTGGATCCACCCACAGATACATCCTGAGCGGTGCATATAACGCCTGCTCCGTAAAACACTCCAGGCACTGTGTCTCACAGAGGGCCCAGAGCCTTCAGTTTGATCCGTCTGCCAGAGGAGAAGGAGATGCTGCTCCATCTCCCAAATGTTGCCTGTGGGTGGATGGCGATAAACTGAATACCTGCTAGAACTTTATGAAGTTGTAGGGGAAAGCTGGCAGTCTTCCGCGAGGCTCTGCTGCGATCCAGATGGCTGCCTGGAACTTGGGAAATGGTATTTCTTCAGGGCTTATGATAACATTAGTGCAGTTATGGAAGGAGAAGTGCATCTGGAACTTGTCTACCTCGCTGGAAATAATGATTTGATTTTTAGCCAAGAAGCCAAGTCTCATTTAACAGCAGGGGAAAGGGAAGTGTCAGGGAGCACAGGTGTGCAGCACCCCCTGCCCCAGGCATTGCTTTCAGAGGATGTCGCTGATAGAAGCATGTCTCTGCTTCCTTCAGGTTTTCTGCTCTTTCTGACCATGGCCCAGGAAGGTGGCTTTTCTCCACCTGACAGCATCACCATTCATCAGTTCTCAAATGTCCCAGCTTCGACTCAAAGTGCCCCAAAGATGGGGACGGCTTCTGGGTCAGACACGTGGGGTCAAGCATGGGTTTGAGCTCATGCTGAGAAATGGGGAATGCAGCCTCAGCCGTACTGCTGTTCCTAAAGGAGCCCTGAGCCAGTGTGGATTCGATAAGCCAATTTCTCTGGATGGATTAGGGAGTAAATAAGAGCTTTTCCCTTCTACCTTTCCCCCAGTGCGATGTTATGGAGCCACGACGGCATTGCCTAGTGCCTGTGCTGTCTCACCCGTGATCACATCAGTGGATGAGTGAAGGACTGCCCTGTTTCCTGGCAGTCCTGTCTGTATGACCTTGATCAAACTCGAGGATCAACGTTTCCCCATCACTTTCCCCCCATTGCTCTGCCCCTCTACACCCCTCGTGGTCCGGGGACAGCACTGCCATTTGTTAAGCTCCACCTCTGTTTGTCCGTCACAGTGGAAATGCTTTATCTTCCACCTGGGTTGCACTGTGCGAACAATGATAAGAGCTGGTTGTTAAACAGAAACCAGTGTTCCTCCGGTCTCTGATTTTCAAGGTTATAGAAAGAAAACAAGTGGTGGCTGAAGTTTGTGCCCAGGGCTGGCCGCATGGATTGGGTCAGGGCACCAGGACTGCACTGGGAAAGCAGGGCCAGGAGGAGGCTGGCAGGCAGATATGAGCACCTGGGAAGGTCGGGAGGAGAAAACACCTTTGGTTTCTTCCATCTGCATGCAGCAAGCCTGCAGTGGGAGGATCGGCTGCGCTGTGAGGATTAGTCCTGGGCACAGGGCTTGGGGAGGTTCACTGTGCCCATTTTTTTTCATTTTTATTCTTACTTTTTATTTTATTTTTATTTTTGCTGCTTGCTGATTTCCACCCATTTGCCTGATTTCAGGGTTTACTGGGAGGAATGGCAGCCAAAGAACCCCCCAGCCGCATGCCCTCTTGTGGGTTGAGCTCATGCAATCTGATGTCGTCTCCTTCATGATGCTCCCATGTCCTCAGCATGGAACAAAGTTCTCCCCATCATTCGCTGTGTCTCTGTGCTGACCAGACACCAAGAGAAGCAAACAGTGAGGGCTGAGGAAGGGTATCAGAGCTCATGGTAGTTGCATATCTTATCCATCCACCATCCCTCCCTCCCTCCCTCCCTCCCTCCCTCCCTCCCTCCCTCCCTCCACCCATCCATCCATCCACCCATCCCTCCATCCTTCTACCCACTCATCCATCCATACCTATGTGTATTCACATTCTTCAGCAGGAATTTCCCAAATTTTCCCCTGGAGGACTCTTTTACCCATTACATGGAGCAGGGATGTTACCTGCCTCCATACCAACCCTGGCTCCAGTGGGGTCTTTACTGGCTCTGCGCAAGGTGCAAAACCTGAAGGTTATTTCCAGCTCTCGCTGTCTCTGATACAACTGCAGATGGATCTGCCTTTGGAGCAAAAAGAGGCATGAAAATCCTGCAATGCTCCCAGGTGGGCTTGTCACAGCATCTTAGAGAAGACCACTAAGGCTATCTAGTCCAGCCAACAACCCATCACCCACTAAGCCCACTGAACCATGTCACTCAGTGCCAGTTTCCCAGGAATGTAATGAACTTAATGAAGCCCAGCTTGTCCTGAGCATGAGACAGGAAGGATGGGGATTGCTCATGACACAATGCAGGACAGATATTGCTCAAAATGAAATGGCAGCAACACCGTGGGGCCGAGCAATGGACTGCGCCAAGCATCTGTCCTTACTCCTGCTTTACGAGCTTCTCCCCTTCCTCCTACCTTGTGCTTTGTCGGGAGGGGAGGCAGGAAATCCTGCAGGGCTATTTTTGAGCTTGGGATTAATTAGTGGAGCCATTAAGGGGCTGGGATTGGCCTGGCTGCAGTGAGTTCACGGGTTGCAGACGTGCGGGGGATATCGTGGATTGCTCTGCGTTTGGGAGAGAACAGCGGGGCCAGGCTGGGAGGGGAGGATAGGGAATGGTAACTGCATAAAAACAACATGAAAATCACAATAGGATCCTCCAGCTGCCGTGGGCAGGAGAAGCTTGCCTTGGGGGTGGATGCCCAGAGCTCTGGCCTTGCCCCTTCTCCCACATTCTCTCCCGGGATCCAGCGCTCGAATGCTTTTGAAGGTTATTCCCCACTCTCCCTCCCAGTGTCGCTTCCCTTTGGTTTCAGGCTTGTTCCCATCTGCTCCTCCTGTTTATAGGAAGGGGAAAACATTTAGGAGATAAAGCAGGCACAGCCTGCAGTGGCTGTTTGCCATTGGAGTCCAGAGGCTGGAAAGCACCCGAGATGTGATCTCCATGGATTGAGGCTGTACATGGGACCCTCTGCAGCCAGAACATGAACAAAGGCCACCATCTCCTGCGTGGGTCGTGTTCATCTCAGAGCAAACGCATCCCCAGACCTGGTGCTACTGCCTCCTTCCCCACGCTGACTGAGAGCAAACAACAGCTCTGTGGTTGTGCTCTGGTGTAAATCTGTTCAGAGCAAGGAATTCCCCGGGGTCCCCTGTGTCTGTCCTCGGGCAAGGGACAAAGGAGCAGTTCCCAGCCTGGACGCTGCTGTGAGTCACATTTCTGACCCAGATACTCATTTATTTTACACCCCCTTTCCCAGGCAGGAAATCAAACCGCAGCTCACTCATTAGGTCTGACCATCTGCTGATTGAAAGCCAAAAGAGTGAAAGAAAAAAAAAACACACCCAGAGCAAATTATTTGCTGAAGCTGCTGCTTTCTCAGCTTGGGGGGGGCGGTGGGAGCCCTGCAGATGGGGGATTCCCAGCAGCCACCCCAGTGCTGCACCAGGAGCTGCAAGCATCGGGCTGAGTGCAGGGCATTGATTTGGGGGAGTGCTTGCTGGTCTATGAGAGGGAGGGATGTGCTACTGCTGGTGTTCTAAGGGAGTTTGGGGTGTTTTAGAGCTATGGGGCCATGGGGCTTCACATCCTCCCTGGCAGATGGGAAGGTTCTGCTGGCTCTGATTCAAAGCTTTTCCTTTACCTGGAGTCCAAAGGTTTCCGGATGGTCCCGGTGTCTGACAGGTTGCTGTATATCTGAGTCGCTTCAAGAAGACAAACACCAGCCTTTCCATGTCTGGGGCAATATTTTGATGCTCCTGTGTCCAGATAAAAAAAAGAAACCCCCAAGTCCAAATGCTCAGATCTGATAAAATGCTGATCCAACTGGTGTGTGGATAGAAGTTGCTTGGGGGAATTGGGCATGTAGGGTTTTGGGATCCTTTTCAAACCTACCTTTCCCACCCCCAGCTTGCGCTCATCCATCAGCACTGTGAGTTCAGGGTTTCACACCACCGCCTCACTGACGCCCTGGGAAAAGCCATTGGTTTGCATGGGGCCCTTATGGGAACCAGATGGGGACTGGGGGCAAGGTGCAGCTCCTGGGAGCAGGCTGGGCCTGCAGTCTGCCCAACAGCTGGCTGGGCATGGGCAGCTCCAAAGGAAGGGCAAGGCAGTGGGAGCAGGCATGAGGCTGGGCAGCACTGCAATGAGCTGACAGGAAAAGAAGCAAGAAGGGGATCCTTTTTTTTTTTTAATGTATTACATCCGGAAGATATTTATAGATTTTTTATCTCTTTAGTGCCTCTGTGCTACAGATAAATCATGCAAGACTTTTACAATACTTAATGCAAACAAATAAAAAAAGCCAAAGGTTTTCAGGAAGGTTTTAAGCCATGTGAACATGGGCATGGAACAGAGCAGCCTGAAGCTAGGCTGCTGGGCTGGAGCAGGAGGGGAACCCCATCTCTTCCCATCCCCATCCCCATCCCCATCCCCATCCCCATCCCCATCCCCATCCCCATCCCCATCCCCATCCCCATCCCCATCCCCATCCCCATCCCCATCCCCATCCCCATCCCCATTCCATCCCCATCC